AAAAAAAAAAGAATTAGGGAGAATACCAGGAAAGGTAAAAAGCGTTCTGCTTTTCATCAATTAATGATACTTTCAATCTGCAAAACACTGCCTAAGGCTCTTGTTTTACTGCATCATAAGAAAGTTTAGGTTGGAAGTAATCTGTAAGATAGAGAATAATAATTTGAAAACTGCCAAGCTTCCTTTAATTTCATCTTTCTAAGCTGAAAAGTTGTAGGAACTCATGGAAAGGATCAAAAAGGATCCATGTAGGTGTGTTTAACTTCTGGAGGACAAAAGGGATACCCTTTATGTTTGGGAAGCTAAGTAGTTACAGGAACATGTAAAAACTTTATTTGATGTAGTGGTTGTAATCTACATAATTCTTTACCATAAATGGTTGTAGACACAGAAAAGAAGTTGAATAAGGATCAGCTAAATTCGAGTTTGCATGATTTCATTGATAACCCTTTATTATTATTCTAAGAACGTTTAGTGAATATTGCTAATTTTTTAGACACTACACCCTTCCCTAAATATTCCTTTGTTAAAATTTGAAAAGATCTTCCGTATATGTGATTTCCTTAAGTCCTGATGGGCAGTGATTTTGAAGCCTAGTGGGCTTTTGGATAGACTTTCCAGTGACTGGCTAGTTACTATTATATTTGAATAGCCCAGAAAAGGATGAAAGCTGGTTTAGGGTAAATCACATCTAGTTTTCGTGGTTATTAGTATTTGCTGATAATGAGTCCAAATAAGGTCTTGATTATCCAAAAATGATGGTGAGAACATTGAGATAGCTAATTGAAATGAGAATATCATTCTCCCTACTGAATCAAAGCCTTGTTCTGGTGACAAATTTTCCTATTATAGGTTCTGATCAAGGTGGTGGTGGGAGATAGCACTCGTTGTAGACTATACTTTTCAGGGACTCTAAAATGATTTAGGAACTGGAAAAACGTAAGGCACATAGAGCAATTATATATAGATACATCAAATGTGTCTTTTTTTTTCGTTTCTATCAAATGTATCTTTTAACAATGGGGTAGTTTTTGAAATTACTGATAATTAGCTTCTAGTAAATATGAAAAGGTTTATGAAATCTATAAAAAATAAAATAGGTGATTCTCTTAGATGATTCTTTACTCATATGGCTTTCTAATAGAAAACATAATCTAGTCTAAGAAAAGAATTTTATTTATATTATAAATGCTAGCAAAATAGTTTCCACAAAACTAGAGAGAGATGAAACATTTTTCTCCTAATAAGGAGGTTTGAAATAATAAAAACTAAAAATTGTTATTGAAAGCTCTATAATGCTTCATGATGAAGTTAGAACAATTTCATCAGAATCCATCAAATTCTGATGGATTATCCCATTTATGGATGTATTTAAGATTTTCCCATTCTTGAATACATACACATACACCAATACAAGTGACATTTCACTTGTGAGGGTTTTGTTTTTCCCTGCCTTTTAAAATTTTTTGTTTTGAGATGGAGTCTGCCTCCGAAAGTGCTGGGATCACAGGCATGAGCCACTGTGCCCAGCCCTTCTTGCCTCTTAATATGAAATGATCTTTTACAAATTATTGTAGCCTGGGGATCCTTAAGAAATCAGGCTGGTCCTGTCTAGGCGAAACTTCATTTATTTAAGAATTTAAGAAATTTATTTATTTAAGAATATTTATTTAAGAAACTTCATTTATTTAAGAATTCTCCCTTTTTGTTTAAGGCAAATGCTCTGTTTCGTCCACTATGATGCTTTCCTTTTGGGCAAAAAGCACTTAATAATGCTATTTGCCTCTAGTTGCCCATAATGGAGTTTGCTATCAAATGATGACTGACCCTTTTGCAATTATGTAATATAAAACAGTATATGTTGTAAAAATCAATTATTTTAACCTTATCTCTAGCTTTTTCTGTAGTACTGCTTTCTCCCCAAAATACTGTTGACATTTATTTAAACAATGGTAGTGAAATAAGATTAACATTTTTTGAGAATTTCATGATAACTCCGATGAACATTAAAACCTTGCAGAGCCAAATTTATAGATATTACCTTGTGTGGTAATATCTATAAACTTGGCTCTGCAAGGTTTGTTGAGAGCATTGTTTCAATGACTATTTTGTTGAAGGAGTTTGGTTAAGACAGCTTTCTAAGTACATTTTTTTTCCCATATAAGAGTCTTTCTAATTTTTCTTTTGATATATCTACCTTCTTGTCCCAAATAATTAATGAAAAAAAAAAAACCAAATGTCTGCATCTTCCATTCTTGCCCCTAGGGGCTATTAGTTGAAGCATCTGATTCTGACATCTTATAGACCAGGGGTTGGCAAACTGTGAGGTGCTAACGAGTAACTATTTTAGGCTTTATGGGCCGCATGGTCTCTGTCACATATTATTCTTTGTTTTATTTTTGGTTTGGTTGTGTTTATAAGCCTTTCTTTTCTTTCTTTCTTTTTTTTTTTTTTTTTTTGGGATACAGAGTTTC